TATCCTTGACGCCAGGCTGTCTAGACAGGGTTTTATCGCATGTTCACTGTCAAGTGAATATGCCTGCCCATTTGTAGCAATATTCATTCTCCTGAATTTCATTCAATTTAAAACATCACATCTATTCAATTTAATATAAATATATATTTATATTCATTCACATTAATCTTGCAATATACATTCAATTTAATCCTGCAATATACATTCAAAAAAATATGTATTTTATAAATTTATTAAACACACCTCTTTGGGCCGACGTGAACTTTGTCTGTTAATACAATAGCAAGCAAACTTGTCTTGTAGATTTCAAATGAAACCATTCCTCTCCATTTCGCATTTCGAGTAATAGACTCGGGATTACAAAATGCGAATGTAAACTCTCAATCTAATATTGCTTTCTCGTCCTCTTCGTTTGACAGTGAAGTAACACGGCATCCACGCTTTCTTAGTTCACGGACGTGAGAGTCAATGAAAGAGTTCAATTTGCGAATGACTATTAAGATGGGGTTTCTCCAGAAAATTGTGGCTTTTGCCAAGTCGTCGTGCTACTCTCGGTGTTAGAACTTTGGAATATTAAACTCTTCCCATAACCGATAGCAAGATGCAAATACATCTTAAATTTAATGTGAATCAAATTGGACAATTCTATAAAACTGCTTCTTTCAACTTTTGTTCGTTTATTTAATAATATAGACATTTCAAAATTCAAATGTTCCAATTCAATCAAAACACGAAACGCCTGCGAACAGGCCATGATGTTTACAATATCCAATCAGAACACGTAGTCTATCGAACCTATAGTGAGCACTCAGCAGCCAATCAACTCTTTGCTTCCATTTTTGAAAGTTATGTGTGGAATGTGAACCCAAAAACTACGCCAATTTCACCAGAGGGTTATTCAAAACAGGCGAAAATAAATACCCTCTGGCTCCAGGGTATGATGGCTGGCGAATTCACACAAATCAGTCAATCAGTCAGTCAATCATAGGGTAAACTTTCCGGGGGTGTAAACGATTTATGTTCGCAGTGATTTATTGTACTTAGTCAGTGCTTTTAAGGTTATTTAAGCAATTTTATTTATTTCCTTTAAATATTCTTTTGTTATTTTGCCAAGTTTACAAAAATTTCGAGGAATCGTTGTCGTTATTGTAAATTTTTGTAATTTTAGAACATTCGCTTCTCATGTTGTGTAAAGGATCTTTCCCCCGGAGGCGAACTATTTTGGTTGCGGTATTATTATTCTGGGTGATTTCAATCTACTAAATGTTAGAAGACTAAATACCAATTTTAATCTAAAACAAATTGTCAATTTTCCCACCCGTGGTCAAAATACTCTCGATATGGTGTTGACCAACTTAGACAAGTTCTATGAAAAACCAATTAAGATGTCCCCCTTTGGCCTCTCTGACCATGTTACCATTGTAATGAAACCTAAAAAACCAGGACAGGACAAGGTTGTTAAATCAATCGTAAAGTCGAGGGATACGCGACCAAGTAAACGTTATGCAATGAGGTCCTATCTGGAACAAACAAATGCTTCAAATCTAATTAATTCGGTGCAATCGTGTGATGATAAAGTCTCGATGCTGGAAACAATTGTTAAGATTGGCCTCGGTTTCATTATGCACTTGCAAACTAGGACCGTTATATCAAATGAGCCAGTGTGGATCACTTCCCCTTTGAAAGACCTTATAGTAAAACGACAAAAAGCTTTGAATAGTGGAAATTTAGAAGAATTCAAACGGCTCCGTAATTGCGTGAATCGGAGCGGAAAAAATGTCGTTCTAAATACTACGAAGCGAAGGTCAAACATCTAAAAAGTTGAAAATCTTCCGACTAGGGAGAGAAGTCAAGAAATTGAGTGGAATGAACTCGGCTTTCAACTCTAAAAATGAGGTGTATAAGTCGTTAGAAAATCTAAATGAGACAGCTACTTGTACCAAACATCTTGCCAACATTACCAATGGAATCTTTCTTTCTCCTATGAATAACTTCTCCCCTTTTGCCAGTGACTATTTCGCTTGTTCCAATTTCGGCAGCGATGAACCTGGTTTTACAGCTACGGAGCAGGAGGTCTTTATGAAATTGTCAAAAATGAATCCAGCCAAGGCCAGTGGTCCAGATGGGATACCCAGCTGGGTTCTAAAGGAAAATGCTGATCTACTGGCCGATCCTGTAAAAGAGATTTTGAATCTTTCGTATAGAAATGGCTGTCTTCCGCAGTCGTGGAAAGAACCGGATATTGTCCCTCTTCCAAAGCAGAAACCCGTAAAAGACGTGAATAAGCACCTATGTCCCATTTCATTAACATCTGTTGTGTCAAAGGTGGCGGAGGATTTCGTTGTCGAAAATTTTGTTAAACCTGCTGTCCTTAGTAAGATTGACATAAATCAATTTGGAACGATTCCCAAATCATCAACGACTCATGCGCTATAAGCATGATACATAAGTGGAAAAAACAAACGGACGGAAACGGTTCTATGGTGTAGGTTGTCCTTTTTGATTTCAAAAAAGCCTTTGACTTAATCGACCATGGTATTCTCGTAGACAAGCTTACTACCTTTGAAATAACAAAGCGAATAATTGGGTGGATCGTTAAATTTCTCAAAGACCGTAAACAGCGCGTCAAGTTAAGCCAAGATTGTCACTCCGAATGGGGTTTGGTTCCGGCATGCGTCCCTCAAGGGACTAAATTGGGTCCTTGGCTTTTTGCTATAATGATAAATGACCTAAAAGTAGCGGATATAGATTTATGGAAGTATGTGGACGATACTACAATCTCCGAGATTGTCCTTAAACTTGAAACCACCAGCAACCAATCTCAGGTAGACGAGTTTATAAGGAAATCAACTGCAAATAAATTTCAGTTAAACGAAGAGAAATGTAAAGAGCTTCAAATTACCTTTGCAAGACCTGGGCGTACGTTTACACCCGTGTATGTTAATAATAAACCAATCGAAGTTGTCCCTTCTGCAAAGATATTGGGCATGCGAATTACGAACGACCTTAAATGGAATACCCACATCTCAGAGATTGTAAAGAAAGTTTCAACAGCACTCTTCTTTCTTTGTCAACTAAAACAAACAAAAATCTGTAGAAATTATTTACTAACATTTTACCTGACCTGTGTGCGTCCTGTGATGGAATATGCTTGTCCCGTTTTCCACAACTCCTTACCCAATTACCTATGCGAAGATCTGGAGAAGTTACAGAAGCGAGCCCTTCATATAATCTTCCCAACGTTACCATATGCAGAAGCTTTGGTAGAAGCGGGAGTTGACTCATTATTTAATAGAAGACAAATCCTAACTACAAAACTATTTAATGGTATTGCAAATGACGAAAGTCATAAGCTTTACCAATTACTACCAAGTAAGAACTTTTCAAATTATAATATAAGGAACATTTTTAACGTTTCTATTAGTAGGACGAATATATTTAAAAATAGTTTTATACAGCATAATTCTACAATGTATTTTAGATAAAGTAAATATTTATATAAGGAAAGAGAACATTTTCAACGTTTCTATTAGTAGGACGAATATATTTAAAATAGTTTTATACAACATAATTCTACAATGTATGTTAGATAAAGTAAATATTTATTGTAAAGTTAGAAGCGTAATTCAACCCGTGGGTTGTAATGTTTTTGATTAATTAATTAAAATATCTATTCTATCTATCTATCTATCTCTATCAACACCCGATTTTTGCTGTAGCAGCGCAAATGCGCATGCGCTATGAAGCCGTAGATCACGATGCTAGGAAGGAGCGACAGTGTTGTTTTCAAATGTATAACTGAACATTTCAGACTTGAATATTGAGTAAATCTTTGAGAATCTACGCAATATATAAATTTATGTTATGCATGACGGTCTTTCAATCAAGTACTGATATATGTCGACGGTATATTCATTATACAGAGCTAGAAAGGAGCGGAAGTGTTGTTTTCAAATGTATAAACATTTCAGACGTAAATATTGAAAATTTCTTTGAGATTTTAGGCATTCAATTGAGTGCCGATATTATTTTCACGGCATACTCATTATACAGACGTACAGTACGTAGGCAGAAGCGAGACAGTGTTGTTTTCAAGTATATAAACATTTCAGGCATGAATATTGAGAAAATCTTTGAGATTCTACGCAATAATTGGATTTATGAAATAAATGATATTAAGAACGATATTTATTCAGCGTGGCGTCGGTCGTGTTGTTCGTGAGCTTCACTCGTCGGCATCATTGTTTTTTTCTGGACTGATAGAATTGTCGTGTGGTCAAGCCAATACATACACACATACATTTTGTAGTCTAGTCTCTTTAGTCTATGATTAGCCAATAAAATTATATTGTAACTCGTTTTGTGTTGGAGTGGGTTTTTTCGGTCGGAGGGGCTACGTATCTCTCATTCTTGATCTTTTTCTAGGACCTACCCTACTCCCCTTATCCTCGTTCACGATCGGCTCTATTTGCCCTCTCAATCTCGAAGCATTTGTGCACGAGCTCCGGGAGTATCCTAGTCCCCGCAAGGAGTATGTGCTGGCTGGCATTCGCGACGGTTTTCGTGTGGGTTTCGTTCCAGAGCGTGTGGTCCTTCGTCCATGGCTCCGCAATCTCATGTCGGCGTCTCAGCACCCGGACGTGATGGACAAATATCTCTCGGAGGAAGTCGCTCACCACCAGGTGGCTGGTCCTTACCCGTATCCCCCCTCCCCCACTACCCTCTCTCAAACCAGTCCGTATGGGGTTATTAATTCCGAAACGTCGTTGCCCGCGGAAGTGGCGCCTCGTCCCTGACCTTTGCCTCTCCCCCAGGAGCAAGCGTTAACGATGGTTTACCTAAGGATCCCTCCTTCTCTATGCGATACACCTCCAGTCTTCGTCCAACAAGCGTACTTGTCACCGTCAGGAATTAGAGTCCTTGATTGGCCACCTCCACCACGCATTCAAAGTTGTCCGTTCTGGGAGAACGTTTTTGCGACGTATGATTGATCCTCTGGCTCATTTTCGCAATCGCTCGCACACAATTCGCCTTAACGTCGATTTTCGGCCGGACTTCCACTGGTGGCTCGCTTTCTTTCGTGATTGGAATGGCATCAGCTTCTTCTTGTCGCCTGGCGCATCCCAGCTTCCCGACTTGTTCGGCGCGTCTGATGCAGCAGAGTCCATCGGTTTTGGAGCAATGTGGCGTTCCCATTGGTGTTTCGGTTCCTGGTCGTTTCTGTCTTCCCCACAATTCATCGCGATACCTAATTTGTGAACGTGGCCATAACTAAACGCAAACTCTCGACCCACGGTCATGGTTTCGACCGAACTTCCTCTTCAGTGGAAACAAACCACAAACCGCAAACCGCCAAGTCACTTATCAGATTTGACAGTTACGATCGAAGCGAGCTTGTTAATACAATGTTACGTTATGCATTACCGGCATTCAATTAAGTGCCCATCGATATTATTTAGACCGTGTATTCATTATAAATTGTCATTGACTGTATAGGGTGCTACATCACAGAATAGATGGCTACACTCAGTACAAAGAGCGAAAAATTGCATCAGATCAATAAAGCATAAACAACTATTAAACAGAAGCGGGTAAACGTTTGTACGGCGTTTACAAAGAAAATAACTTGCGAGACTAAAAAAATCAGTTGAGTCAGAGCTCCTTATTTTAATAAGAAAGACGAAAAGATAGCCAATGTGTTATCGTCAACGTGTTATCGCCAATCGCTTGGCTCGCCAACAAGCTTTATGCAATAGAAGAAAAAATCAAGGAGGTACAGTAGCCAACATGTACCGTCACGGACCTTGTCTTTGTTTACTGTCTACCACAACGCCGTTGTCAACGGTGCAAACTCTTGTTCAGTGCAACGATAACTCTACCAGATCTTACGAGAATCAATCTGTAGTATACTGTACACAGAACTGTTCAAAGCTTGTCAAAACTGCTTTAAACAATGCCTAACTGTGAAACTATTGAAATCTAAAGTGACATTATTCAACACATGCGAAAAGCTGAAAATAGACGTGACACTGGGAAAAGTCAAAGGTCAATGAGACCAACCTCGTTCCCAGGGTCTCTCCTTCTGTCATCTGGGAGAGATCCTGGCTGCGGCTGGTCACGTGCCTCCCAGATTCTGGGAGGTAAATTTAATTGTAACTGTGAGAGGGATGGGAAAGGAGCGTGTTTGTAGCGTTTTAAAATTGCATCTTTGTGTGATGAAATTTACTGTAAATTTGCAACAAGAAATCGTAAAGAGAACTCTTAAATTAATATTTATATCGCGACGTTCTACTCTATAATCTGGTGTCGAGTTACAATTTAAGCAAGTTGGATCAGATTTCAATATTCAACTGATAGACTTGCCAAAGAAAGCACGCTTGCCGCTTGTGCAGCATAGCAATATTTAATAAACCGACAAGAAAATATATATCTCTAGACCGAACAGTGTGGTCGTTATTTATTTGGTATTAATGTCTATTATTGTCTATCCTGATACTCGGGCCAAAAGAATTTATTTATTGATGAGATGTGGAATTGCAACGAAATAGCGAGATCTTTTGATTTTCGAAATATCGCAGACTGTATCCAGATTGTTGATCTATATAAAGGCCTTTTCAAAAAAAATTAAAGCCCTTTAAAAGACTATAAAATTGGCCCTTGGCATTGCTGAAGCCAACGATCATCAATAGCGTAGCCAGCCCGACAATTTAGTCTCGCTATGCAAATATGTCCGTGTTCATTGACTGTGAAAACAATCAATTTCTAAAGAAATGAATAATGATAATAATTTTGAATTTGCATAGCGGAACTGAATTGTCGGGCTGGCTACGCCACTGACGATCATGGTATATGTCTGTTGAAAATCTACTGATAAATAGCTGTCTGTTGAAAATCTACGGTATTGAAATCATGAGCACTGTTTAGTAGGTGTTCACCACCTTTATAAATTTTGTAAACAGCTTACAGCTTTCGTTTTGACATGAATAATTAAGCTTTAATTTTTTCCTCTATATGCATTCTTAATAATACAAGTGAGATTTAAATTTTTGCTTTGTGAAATAGAATACTGTTATTTTTTAATGGACAGCTTGCATCGTCTATATCACATCCAGGCAGGCCCGGAGCTACGGGGGGGTGTGGGGGGGTGTGACACCCCCCCAGTAATTGTATTCAGTCGGCAGGAGTGCTATTCAGTCGGTAGGACTGCTATTCAGTCGGTAGAACTGCTATTTGGGTTAAATATTTTTGGCGGAAAGGGCAAGAACGTGGTGGGAATTTTAGGAAAATTTTGAGGAAAAATGTAAAAATTTTGGAAAAATGTAAAAAAAATGTTGAAAAATTGCTATGTGCGGAAAATTTTTGAATGTTCCGGAAAATTTTTGTACGTCCGGAAAAAATTTTGGACCCCTAAAACGGTACACTGACCGAAATTTTTTTGGCGACGGGGGGGGGGAAGGTCGACAAAAAAATTTTTGTTCCGGAAAAATTTTTTTAACCAGTCGGTTGAATTAAATTACACCCCCCCTGAAGAATTTCCTGAGGACGGCCCTGCACGCACGTGACCAAGTCCAACAAAGGGGGTGCGTGTATTGCAAAGAAAAAAATCATAAATCAAGTGAGTGCTCAAAGGTGACAACTGTTTCGGAGCGAAGACAGATACTAGCAAAACACCGTCTATGTTTTAACTGCACTGGAGAAAACCACAGGGCTGCTGAGTGTCCAAGTAAGAGAAGTTGCCAACATTGCGATCGACGTCATCACACATCCATCTGTGACCGGACTGGGGAACCAGCAGGAAGTTCCGGGGGAGACGGTGGTAGTAAAAAACTTTACACTATAAACCAATCGAGCGAAGGTGTTTTTCCTGTTGTGAACGTGTGTGTAAACGGAATTTTATGCAGAGCTTTGATAGACTCTGGAGCGGGAAGTTCCTACGCATCAGCAAGGTTAATACACGAACTTCACATTAAACCCCTAGATGTACAAACGAAGAAGATCGACATGCTTATGTGTTCAAAACAAGCACGTTTAGAGACATACGAAGTTAAGATTGAATCAACAGAGAACAATTTCGCCATGACAACAAATTTAATCAAAGTCGATAAGCCAGAATTGCTTTTCCTTGAGAATCCTGACTACGAAAATCTTATCAAAAAATATCCACACTTGACGGGAGTGACCATAAAAGATCAAGACAAAAAACCAATGCTTCCTGTTCATGTTATTCTGGGCAGTGGAGACTACTCTAGAATAAAAACTGAGACACCGCCTAGAGTTGGAAAGGACATGGAACCAGTTGCAGAGCTGACTCAACTAGGATGGTTCTTGATGTCACCAGGGAAAGAATTCGACAGGAAGACAATGTTGCTCACTCAAACAAATCAGTTGGATTACGAACAGTTGTGTCGCCTTGACGTTCTTGGTCTTGAAGATGCTCCCGAACACGATCAACGGGTAGTTTACAACGAGTTCAAAGAACAGCTCACCAGAAACCCCGAAGGCTGGTATGAGACGGGATTGCCGTGGAGAGGGAATTTCCCAACATTACCAACGAATGAACAGGGAAGTCGACGCCGGCTCGAAAGCCTGGTTACTAAGCTGAAACGCGAGGGGCTGATGAGTGAGTACGACGCTATCATTAAAGATCAGAAGCAGAGTGGAGTAGTTGAGCCAGCCGAGAGTCCAGCAAAGGGGGTAGAGTTTTACTTACCCCATAAACCGGTAGTAAGAGAAACGGCGAAAACTACGAAAGTGCGAATCGTGTACGATGCGTCGGCCAAAGAGACACGTGACAGTCCGTCACTTAACGACTGTTTGTACGCAGGCCCTCCACTCCAAAATAAGCTATGGGATGTACTTGTCCATCAGCGTGGTTATCCGGTCGTGGTGTCGGGGGACATTCAAAAGGCGTTTCTGCAGGTGAGAGTCAGAGAGAACGAACGCGATGCCCTGAGATTCTACTGGCGAAGTGAAGAAAGATTCGCAGTTAGAAACGTTGCGATTTACGAGAGTGTTATTTGGGTTGGCACCCTCCCCATTTCTCCTCGCTGGAGTGATCGAGCAGCATCTCAACTCATGGGAAGAAAGGTATCCTGATATCGTCGCAGAACTACGTAAAAGTTTGTATGTAGATGATTTGCTCACCGGTGGGCAAACCATTCCACAAGCAGAAGATCGAAAGGAGAAAACGGTTGAAATCTTCGAAGACGCCTCATTCAAGTTACATAAATGGAACTCAAACGTAAGTGAACTTGAAGTGAACGGTGAACCTTCAGCGGGAAACGACGAAGAAACATACGCCAAACAGCAGTTAGGTGGTGATTCAACTGACACAACAATGCTCGGGTTAAAGTGGAACAAATCGTCGGACACTCTAACTGTATCTTTTCCAACCGTTGACAGTATTTCTACCACAACCAAACGCACAATCCTTAGTAAGTTAGCAAAAGTCTATGACCCCCTAGGTGTGGTCTCACCCATCACTTTGGAAGGAAAAATAATCTTTCGGGACGTGTGCAAGACTAAAGTACCATGGGATGCTGATATTCAAGAACCGTTAAGCCGTCGCTGGAACGAATGGGAAAAGTCTCTGCCAAAAGAAGAAACCATACCACGTCCAATAGTGAAATACCGAGAGCCAGTTTTGAATGTAGAACTCCACACCTTTGGTGATGCCTCGACGAAGGGTGTCGGAGCAGTAGTATACTCCGTAGTGCGACAAAAATCTGGGAATACACAACAATTAGTAACGGCCAAATCTAGATTGGCCAAAGGATTGACAATTCCCCGTCTGGAGTTGATATCCGCGCACATGGCGACCAATCTAGTGAAGAATGTCCAAAACGCGCTCCAAAACCTTCCCGAACCAACAATCTATGGGTGGTTAGATAGCACCGTCGCTCTCCATTGGATTCATGGAGAAGGACAATACCGCCAGTTTGTCGCCAATCGAGTGTCCAAGATCAATCAACACCCAGAAATAAGTTGGAGACACGTACCCACGAAAGACAACCCAGCAGACATAGCCAGTCGAGGAGGACGTTTGTCCAATAAATCTTTGTGGTGGAACGGTCCAGAATGGTTGGACGATCCAGAGAAATGGCCAGACAACCTTGAAACGCAACCATCCACAGCTACTGAAGTTGAAGCCAAAGTGGTTCGAGAGGTTCTTTGTGCAACACAAGCCCAGCGAGTAGCTGACGAATTTGATCAATTGTTGGAAAAGCACGACCTTCATCGTACACTACGAGTATGTGCCTGGATCCTGAGATTCACAAGCAACTGCAGAACCAAAGAGAGTCAACGGGGTGCTCTGACAACTCAAGAGATTGAAAACGCTCGTCTGTGGTGGATCAAGCGAGTCCAACGAGAGAGTGACATTGAGAAAGATCGAGAACAACTTAACCTACGAGAAAATGACCAAGAGGTACTTCTATGTCATGGTCGCATACAAGGAGAAAACCCAGTTTACTTACCGAACACTAGCACATTCACGGAGAAATTAGTACAAGAAGCGCACTTGCGCACTCTCCACGGGGGAGTCGGGTTAACAATGGCACAGATTCGAAAGAGGTATTGGATACCCAAGTTGAGAAGTTTGGCTAAACGACAAGTCAAAACTTGTTGTGGCTGTCGCAGATTTCAAGCAACTGCTGTGGTCAAACCGCCACCTGGAATGTTACTAAAAGAACTCTACGAAGGGAAAGATGGTCTCGTAAGAGCAGTAAAGCTACGTGCGGGGAAAAGGTTCATGGAACGACCAGTGCAACATCTTTATCCATTAGAGTTAAGTTGTGACATTGGAAACAGACAGACAACCAAGACGACCACCGAGTTGAATGCAGAAGCCACCGAGTTCAGGCCGAAAAGAGACGCAGCGTTTGCAGCGAGGCTTCGCAACAAGATGATAGTTGATGATTGAAACGTTAAAGGAACATTTAATCGTATACAGTTGAGTTGACATTCAAAGTTAAAGAAACAATAGTCACATAGAATCAGTCTACTGTTAGACATATATCTCCTAAAGAGATATATGGGGGGAGTGTGTCGTAGACTGACGTCACGCGATAATAATAACTTTAGTTAAGAACTGTCAATCAAACAAAATAACAAAGCGAAACAGTGAGCGAGACGAGACATGGCGAGACGCGTATACTTTTTTAAGATAATAGATTCTACTTGAGATTTTGTAAAACATTATTATTGAGAAAACGAACAGTGAAGGGACGAGAGACGAGAAGTTTATACGAACGGTTAAACCATAAATAAGTATTCATATTGGCGTAATAATAAAAGTTATAATATCAACACGAGAGAATATATTATTTCATACAATTTTACGGGGGCAACAATATTTACTACAATTATAACGTTTCCTTTAATTAATGGGCCAATTGCGGAATTGCTAAGCATCATGGTAGTTTAGTTACACAGCAGAATTTTTCAACATGGCGCTTATACTTTTCGAACGAGGGAAGGTGCTAAACACATGAGAATTGCAAGAAAACGTTTATCATTTTCGCTTTGATTAAAGTTTTGACTAAATCTGTACGACTTGTTTCATATTTCTACTTCGTCTTGGACTTCTACGAGCGAGTGCGGTTGAAATATTTAACATGGCGTACAAAGTCACTGAAGCGGGGAAGGAGTTCGATTCGTAGTAGTCAGGAACAAATTTTTGAATATTTCACAACATGAAGGTAAGTACTGCATTAAATTATTTTCGAAAGAAGGAACACGTTGTAAACTATTATTTGCCTAAAAATTTTAATGATCGGTTTAATTCTAGCAACTCGAGAGACAAAAATGTTTGCACACTTGACCGTCCCAAAACAACAGATGTTTGATCAAACGTTCGTTTCACAACCACAAAACATTGAGGTTGTTTGGCGCGAAAAATCAAAACAGTTACTGTTTGAAATACCGAGCTTTCACATTTCAAAGGTTTTCAAAGATTTATAAAGTACTTTTAAGTACTATTCACTGCTGTTCAAGTGTCTTATTGGAGTTTTTAACTACAACATATTTACGCGAGTCAAATTTAAAGCAACCTCCCTTGTTTTGAGTATATTTTGGAAAGTTTCGAGCCGTTTGGTTTGCTGTTTGTTTGGATAAATATGGCAAGTGACACGGAAAAAGTGCTAAAGGTAAAATGTACAGGGGAACGACCTGTTGTGTGCCACTTTGTCGAAGCGACAGTGTTCAAAATTCGGAATTATCCTTCCATAAATTTCCTGTCAGAAATATGGCTGAATTTTATATTGAGAATACAAAGTGAACTTTTATAAAAAAGCCACAAAGTGTGTTTCTTACACTGAGAAATCTTTTAGTGCATTGTCAACTCTCGTTAAAATATCATGTAGACAAACTGTTAACAGTAGCCAAGGCAGGGAACATATATAATTATAGACAGCTAGTGAGACTGAACAACCCAGTTTGAACAACAAACGACCTGCATTGATACACAAGAGTCAACCAATGAAAGATTAAAAACTGAACAATGCAGCTTTACAGTTATCATCTAAATACGAACAGTGTGTATTGCGAATAGAACATGTACTTGCCAGTGACACAAATTTTAAATTCTATACAGGTTTTCAAAATTATGCAACATTTAAAGTTTTCTTTGACTTTCTGCAACCACCATGTGATTTCTTAAATTATGCTGGTTCGAGTAACACTGTAGAATACTCATAGAATAAAAAAGCTGCGGCGAAAAAGATCAATGTCGCCTACTGTACGTTGTGGTCTTATATGGGTTGACATATTGCTCTCTGAATTGGCATTTCACAGCACATGTTTCTCGTACATATATGGGCTACTTGGTTAGAGTTTCTCTATCACAAGTTAGGATCATTACCCATCTGGGCATCACAAGATTATATACAACAAACTATGCCACAGCCTTTCAAAAAAACCTACCCAAATACCCGTGTAATTATTGATTGTACAGATTGAACAACAAATTGAAATGCCAACATCATTTAGAAGTCAGTCTGCATTTTTGAAAATGGGCACTTCACCTCACCTATCCCAAATGTTGTTGGCTCTGCATAATTATATAACAAGCAGTCTGGTTTCACCAAGCCATGGAGCTTCTGTGTTAACAAATAACCCACACTGAACACATGCAGTTATTACACATGCAGTCATTATCAGTTCATCCTGAATTATTTTGCTCTAAATGTTTTTCAATGGCAATCTGCTCATTACGGTTGCCCCACTTGACATTCTTTACATTGCTTGCTGGCAAAAGGATTTTGCTAAGAAGTGATGTGAGGAAAACATTTTCTCTTCATTTCATTGCCGTACTGAAATG